AATCAGTTTACACTCCCAATGTGGACTCTCGTGGTTAGACATTCCTTTGAAATGTCCCAACTTCAGTGGAACTGTAGACCAGCAATTTTGCATTCTAATAATTACTTCCTAGTGGTAAACCCTACTATTTTCCACCCCCTTTTCCCCTGCATATATTAAAAGAGAAATAACAATCTTCTATTTTTGGTAATTATAAAATACTGAGTGCTCTAACAAATATATTTAAAATATATAAATTTAGTCATATTTTCAAAATACAACCAAAATATAAATACCTTTGGTTTATTATTTTGAAATGCATCTATTTGGGTTTTTTGGCATATTCTGTTACTGGTGTTATATCTCTTCATTAGTTATTTAAATAATGAAAGACTTTAATCTAAATTCACTTTTTATCACAGACAATCTCATTAGGAGAACTTACTCTTAGAAATGGGAAGGCTCTGGAGCTAGCTGTGTGGAGACAGATTTCCCAATGGTGATAGCCTTTCAGACAGACCAGATAAATGTCTTCATAATAAAGATAAACTTCATACTAAAGTTATAACTGCCTTCAAAGAAGGGAACAGGCAATCTGACTTCTTGAGTGGCTTTCAGAGAAAGATTTTTGCATCTTTTCTTCCTAACTGAAATACTGTAGAAAATCCCAAATTTTAGCTATCTGCTTGATCCATGGTCTCCCACTGGCTTCTCAGAATAAATGTGTGAATCATCTAGATAATTTTATCTTTAGAACTGTATATCATATTATTTTGTTAATAAGTTCAGTGCTCTTTAACAATACTTTTGTAGCTCCTGTATTCTCAGATTTTAATGTTTTTAGTTTTGTGATGTTTATCATTCCTTCTCCATCTCATTGTCTCATATCTGTGTTTTTCTTTCTGCCATCAACTCAGTCATTATGTTACTTTACCTCGTTCCCGGTACACCCAGTCCACAGATCACCATTACAGGGATGTCAGGTATATGTTTTCCTCTGTGTGACTATGTGTGGATAATGCATGTACTTCTACTTACCCACATGTCCACTTCTGTTTTTATTAGTCTGTGTATAATGGTAGAAAACTTAGAAGTGTAGAGTTGGTGTCAGCATTAACTTTCTTAGTACAGTGTGTACACAAACATTGGGTCATTCTTCATATGCTTCACTTGAATATTTTTTCACTGCAATAGTCTATAATTGGTAGTCCATGAAGACAATGCTTTATTTACATCACTCTAATGTCTTTTACAAAGCAAATAAAGGAAATTATTGAAATCAGCAAACACTAATACCTGCTAATTCTGTGATTCTAATATACAGAATTTCATACATGTATGTCTCTGTTAAACGTTATGATAAAACTGAAGTGTGATACCTTTCTCATAGTCTTTTAGCTCTGATAGCTATGAGCCAATACACTTTAATTTTTAAAAGTACTTTTGCAAAATTCACCAAAGTTCCGGCTGTGTTTTTTTCCAGTGTTTTGTTCTGTTGCTGACATTGCTTGCTTTTCATGTTGTTTTGTCCTCATTTCATCTTTTGGTAGCTTTTCATTGTGTTCACCCATTATGTTTTGGCAGCCAGGATCACACAATGTATCCTCTATTTTGTGAAGATGCAATCAGATTACTCCGCTCCCGTAAGATGTGCCGTACCTACTCTGAGGGTGCTTACTATGATCTTGAGAGGTACAATTGGTGTGGAGTATATTGTTAGCTCTGCCACGTTGACAGTACCATGTTTGATTCCAAACTGAGAATGTGATCTGTGTTTTAAGTGATAAACACATCCTGTGAAGACGTTTTAATACTCTGAGTATGTATGCATATAAAACTGACTACTCAGGGCTATGGGTAAATCCCAAGAGATGCTGAATAGCTTTATAGAAGCCAGTTTCATAAATTAGGTTATATGGATTTTATATGCCTGTGTCTTTTAAACTCTTATTTCTGCTGGAATTTTCCAGAGTGCTTATTGCATTTATTATTCTCTTTGAAATAATAAGGAAAAGCCTATCTACTTTAAAGTACACGGAAATAGTGTCTTCCTGAAATCTCATACTTTGCTTAACTGAAAAATAGAGTGAAAAATAAAAGTTTATGCTTATGTAAGCTTATGTTGTATGTATTTGTATACTATGTATTCTGTAATTTAGGAGTACTTGTATACATTCACAATACTCAGGTGTGATTGCAGAAGATCATAGTTCCTGTTTATGCAGGAAATATATGACAGAGAGAAGTTGAGCCCATAACAATTTCTATGAAACAATTATCCACTTGAAATACAGTGGCTTTTAAAAGGTGCTCATGTAGTCCTGTGATTAAGATATTTTCAGAAATATTGCAAACCAGGAAAAGGTCTACATAGATGTCAGTGAATAGAAATAAAGATTCCAATCAGATAAACTATGAGCCAATAAAAAGGAAGTGATGGCTTCAGATCAGATATAAAGGTTGATATGAGCATTGCTTTATAAGAGGGACCATGTAAAAATTTCCAAAGCAAAGAACTCTTTCTATATTAACTTCATGGCTGCCCTCTGGGTATGAGTTCCTCTGAGAAGTTCATTAAGGTTTGCTCTGGATTCAGATCATATATAACCATATTTTTAGCAAATGTAAAATTACTTTTGGATACAGAAACAAAAACGCATCCAAAAATTCCTTCCAAATAAATACTGCTTTTTAAAAATTCTCCAGAGGGTATAGTATATTAGACATTATAATGTTTAGAACTCAGTTAAATATTTGTTTTGAAATTATGCTGTTTTACGTGAAACCTAATATATAGAAAGTGTGTAAATAGTTCAGGCCACATGTAGAAACTTTGATAAGGGGAGGGATTTTGTGTTTGTTTTCTGAAAATATGTGATGACGTGCTCATATGTATACTATTTCAATAACTAATTATTTTTATATACATGTTTTGCCTTAGATATATACTCATATTTGCACTAATTTATCTGGACCTGTTTCAAATTGTTGCTTATATCTGTGACTGTTCAGATATTAGTGAAACTTGGAGCTATTCTCAAATTGTCTTACTTTGAGAATCTCGACTTGTAAATTTTAATCTTTCTTTTCTACAGAAATTAATCTTTCAAACATATAGTAAAGTCAATGAAAATAAAGGGCAAAAATTACAGTACTGCATACATATGAAAAAGCTGGGATTTAAGCAGAGAGATGGAGTAAATCTTTTCTGGGGCTTTATTGAACAGAAGGTTGTTAAAGCTAATTCCTCCTGAGGTCAGAAAGGAAAATCCAACATGAAGTGGAATATTTCTAGTTCACTGTTAAAACAGTATCTTCAGATTCCTTGGGCCTAGGAACTGATTCTGGATTCCATGATCCTGTCTGGATTCCATGATCCTGTTGAATCCAGGCTGCCTGGGGTAACATTAGTGTTCAGGTTACTTGAGTTATCTTACCAGGTATGAACTCCTCTGAGCACCTCACAGCCACAATCACATTTCCTGATTTTTCATGCTTTTTTCTTTCCATATTCTGACAGTGATTTAAGGACTATTTATAGCATAACCTTTATCCAGTTTCCCCTTATACATTGAAAAACACTTTTTCCTCTTCCTTATTTTTATTGGAAATATAGGAAAATTTACTTTTTGTATAATATTCCCTCATTTATCTTTACATTTTCCCCCAGTTCAATGCTTGCTCTAAAATACGTTATTTTGTAGGTCTAGGGAATCACTCTTGTCTTATTAGTTCCATCTACTTAGTCAATGCCTTATTGATGTCAAGCAACAACCTCTCTTCCTATCTTTCACTTTATTAAGCACATGAAATAACTTTCCAGTTTCCACTATTCATTAAAATAATGAACATTGTCTGTACGGTCCAGCATTCAGGGAAGAGTCACTCATCTAGGACAGAGATTTTTATCTTATGCTGCTGTGAATCCACCAGTGTGGGTGTCCTGCAGGCAAATATATAGATACATTAGTTAAAATTACTTGCCTTCTTTGTTACTCATGGCTCTTTTCATTGCTTATCTTGTATCCATTCACAGCCAACCCATTAAGGCTTGTGACTGCTTCTAGAATTTTTCTTCTTTTTTTTCCCCCTCCACAGAGCAACTACTTGATTCTCTTTCATCTTTTCTCTACTGAAGTGTGTTTCAGTTACTGTTTATCAGATATGATAGATCATTAGTTCTAGGCCACATTTAAATTATCAAAAACCTTAATTTCTGAGGTCATTCTTAGGCTGTGGCATTCATCATTTTGTCTTTCTGATGGTTCCCCCCTTTTGAAAAAGTCCACCTCTTTCCCTCCCAAAAGGAATGGAGGCAGCATTGACAAGATACTTATTTCAGCATCTGCCTAAGGAAGACAACAGACACACGAGCATCTTCAGTGACTTCACTGTCCTTTGGATTTGGGGTTTTCTCAAGAACATCCTGCTGCTCAGTACTCTGTTCCAAATTTCCTTGACTCTTTAATGTGATAGCACGGTGGCACTACCTGTATCAGTTCACATTGCTGCAGATACTCAGGTTGAACACACGCAAGACATCATGGCCGGATGTGCTGAGCTTTATTTATGCTTTTATTTATACCCCCAGATTTAGAATCCTCTAGACTTATACAGGCAGAATTTCTGTTGTTTCACTTAAGGAAACAAGATTTTGCTTCAATTTTTTTTTCCTGACATTTTATCAGTCAGAAATTTTCTAACATACATATCCTATTTCTGGTGATTTTTCTCAATTGCTCAAGTACTAGTGTCCTGTCAATGTAACTTTTTACTCCTATGAAATATGTGTGCATTGATCAGGTGTTCTTAATATGTTGTTAATAATTTCTGAATATAATGAAAGTAGAAGGATAAAATTAACACATATATACGAAAATGTATGTTCAGAATATACTGCTGAACTGTAGATCAAAGTGCACTATCTTCATCACATCTTAATAATACAGTAAGGGAAAACATAATGAAAAAAGCACCCTTTAAATTGTCTGAAATATCTGTGCTTTTTATTCCATACTCAGGAGGACTAGACAGGAGAGAAGAGTGCCTATTTCATATTATGATGACACAGCCTATACTCCTGAAAGGTATTTTAATTTATATAGTAAAAATAGATAAAGCTGACTAATACATTTTTTATGAAGTGTAGCCTAAAATTTCTAATTGGCCCAGACTAATGATATCTAAATTTACATTGCACTTTATACCATATTTCTCTAAATACAGAACAACTAATTTCCATAGTTTTAAGTATCTCATTTTCTTTTAGGCCCCTATTAATACGACTTGGGATTTTTTTAAGCATAATTCTTAACTTGAAAAATTTTTTATTCATTAGATGTGGGAGGAAAACTGAATAGTACAGAGGAGCTTAGGTACAACTGAAGGTTTTTTCTCCACCTAACTGCACCATAATTCTAATGGCTAACCTTTTCAGTCGCTAGGAATGATTATAGGACAATGTAGAATCCTTAATTTCATTCTTTTAATAACCTGAGTCACTTAAGAAGGTGCTCAGCTTTTAACATGTTACTGCTCATATTGACTTAAAAAAGGACTAACCAAATGCCTTCAAATTGATTTTGGATGTTTGCTGTGCTAGGACCCAAAGTAATATTAGTCTTCTTTAATTTTGATATACATAATACAACTAAAATCTGACATGTAATCTGTAACATTTTGAAGTGTCTCTGGAAATAGTTATTTGATCATGCCTTTAATGTTTAAAGGGCTAGGCAAAGTCCAAAAAGAAGAAAATCTGAAAAACCGAGCGAATCGGTATTCCTCTCCCTTTGTACAATTAGATATTTTATATTTCTCTGTCCATTTTTAAGTCAATGTCTGATTTTTATCTACAGTATGAAAGTAGGTAAAGCAGAGATTATTTCCTAATAGCAAGAAATTTTGTTTTTATTTGATTGTTATGAATAAATACAGTCATATTTAAAGAAAAACAAAGTGCACTGCAATTTTAAAATCATATTTATGTGTTTTTGGTGTCTGCAATAAAGTACTTTTATGAAAAAATCTTACTTTAAATACTGGCTAATTGGAGAGACTGGTTTTCATTTTGAGGATATGGATGATCAGGGAGAGTGTAAAGGTATATCTGTCATTCTCCAGCTGTGCTCTAATTTAGACTGAACTAAATGTAAATCTAGTCTAAAACTAAATTAGATTAAACTGAAGTGAATTTTGTCCAGTCATTGATCTGGCTACAAACCATGCAAAAAACCCCCCAAACCCATAAAAAGCCATTCACATACACTGCACCCCATACGTTCTTCCCTCAACATAATGACCAGGAGATGTGGTGTTATTACATTTGTAAACATATCGTAAAACCTCAGATTCTGAATATGAGAAGTTTTTTAAAAAAATAGAGTAATGCAAAAAATACTGCTGTGATTCCCAGGAATAGATTTATAAAAACTTTTGTATTAAAGTCATAATAAGTTCATCCTGCAGCCTTTGGCTAGGATTTTCACTACATACAAAGGAATATTTTTGTCCAAATTTATAATACAGTGTTCCCTTGATATTTTCTGATAATCCCTGCCTTGCTTCTCACTCATGAAAATCATTGAGTAGTGAAAGCATAGGAGCTCCAAAGCTTTACCCTAACAAGATCCTGAAAGTACCGAACTCCAGCGATCCAGTTGAAACTCCTTAACCAAATGCTGGATGATTTGTATCTATTTTTAATATACTGGAGTAGTGCCATGTAAACAGTTTATCACCTGATTTCTTAAAGCAGCTTTTTTTTTTGTCCCATTATTTTCTTTCTCAATGGCTCTGGTTAAGATAAAATACTACTACATGTATTTTACATTGTCTTCAACTAATTTGCTGAAATGATACTGCAAATGTTTCAGCAGTCCATGTTCAGTAGCTGGAAGAATAATACAAGAATAAAATTTAATTAGTTATCATTGGTTGATCTGATTGAAGTGAGTTTTCTTCTACTTCTTAAATAACTATAAAAAACCCTACTATACAAAAAAAATTGAAAAATTTGTATTTTTGAAGTTAAAAGCAATATTTTAAACTATTGATGCATGTAATGTTATTTTTGGTAGTGTTATATCTCCACAATTACTTTTAATTATTCCACAAACTCAATAACCATTGAAAACATAAAGACTTTTATGTAGGAAAAGATGAGGGATCAATTAGGATTTATGGAACTGAAATTCATGGCTAAACTACTGAAAAATCTAGAAGCTAAATATAAGAGTTATATTAGGAAAAAACCCCATAATTTTCATAGTGTTTAGCTTTGAAAAAGATGATTTTCTTCATACCTGAGAGAAAATATGAAATGTACAAAATTATTTGGAAATACTTGGAAATTTTCCCATTTTGTTGAGAAGTGGTCATGTCATATAAATTAGAGTGCTATTAATAATACATTTGTTTCTTTATAACATTTCTTTATTTTAACTGCATTGTAAAGGTGGTACAATGGTGCAAGTTCATGGGCAGATCATGTAGTCAATGGTTCAGCTGAAAAATATGGGTAAGTAAAGAGTGTAGTGTTACAGATAAAGCTAAAATGTATTTTAAATCTTTATAATAAGAGTTCATTTGTAATTGTACCAAAGTTATTCCTAATAAATGTATTTTTCTGGATGTCTTTCTTGACTCAGAACTAAGGCACTAATGTTCTAGTCATTTTTTTCAAGATTAAATTATTTTATTCAGTTACAAATAGAAAAAGAACATTGCGTTTGAACTATTTTTAAAGCTTGTTCTCACTGTTCTGGGCTACTTTAGTGAAAAAATGGTTTTTAATGATAATACCTGCCTACATTCACAGTGTTGGGGAATGTGTCTTTGAGACCTAATACTTTTTACTTTTAGAAATAATCCCAGTTCAAGCTGTCTAACCTATCTTCCCGTGTGATTGATGCATAACCCATGCAAAGTGCTGTGTGCCTTATAATCTTTAGTTCTTCCTAGTTGTAGCAGGCTTCTGATCAAGACAGCACACAAATTTTCCTTGCTATTAGTTCTTTTACTTTACTGCTCCCCCCTCATTTTCTTCTTGCTCTTGCAAGGATTTTCTTTTTTTTTGCTTACTTCCTTTGTGAATGTGAACAGGGGAGAACATAATGACTGACAACTTGAAAATGAAAAAAATCTGATAAACCCCAGAATTAATTCTTCAAGATTTTAATGCAAGTTTCTCTGTTCTCTAGAAAGGAGAGGTTTTTGAGGGTCTTTTGACTCAACATTAGTGCAGCTGCAGAGACTTACTTGAGACCATATTTCTTCCCTAGCTTTTTCAACCAGAGTGCCACTGTTTGCTGGCTCTTCAATTTTAGGTGTACACCAAGGGCTGTGCTTATTAGTTCTCCCTGGAAAGTGCACAAGCATGTTGCAAATGAACAGCATTTAAAGCAAGCTGAAAAGTGTTTTGTGTAAATAAAACTTTTGTATTTGCTTTTGATAGTCATATGAGATAGTTCTAGTTACTAGTCTAGATACTTCTCTTGTATTATAATTAGTACTGAATAGATGCTAATGTAGGTAAATATTAGATTACTATTTAACATAGTAAATATCTAAAAATAGATTTGTAATTTTAAAAGAAATATATTTTTTACTACTCTCTCTTCCCATTTAAATTTAGCTCCAAAACGATTTGGAAAAAGAAATAAAAGATAAAATCATTTGTTGTGAACCAATATGACTTTTAGGTAAACCATAAGGCATAAAACATACGTTAATAGAATAAAGACTACTGAAGTGGATCAGAATCTGTTAAGATCAATGGATTTAGAGAATGCCTTTAACAGAAACTGAATGCTATTTTGCTCATTCATAATTTGAGAACTTAAAAGGTAATAAAGTCCTACATATCTGCTTCTCTTGGAATGATCTAATTGAAATCCTAGGCTCATCAAATGACAGAACTATTGTTGCCCTCAGAGAGGTGAGAATTACAGGGCTGTTGCCAAAAGTTAAGAAGGTGGATAAACATACAGCTGTGGTATTTATATACAGTAAACTGCATCGTTGTAGCCCTGGTTGTGATTAAATAATAATGGCCAGTCTTCGGAGCGAAGATTTGGGAAAGGTCATTACCCTTCGAGCCTGCGCAGTGGATTTTTTAGGTGAGACCCAGCGTGCGCTGAACTGAGCCCACCCTTTAATCCTGAGGTTCATCTGCCGGGGCCGAGCAAGCTTGGACAGTGGCAGTGAGGTCCCCAGGACGTAGGTTTGTTTAGAGTGACCTTCTCTTAGATGGATTGCCACACAGGGCTGACGAGCTCCATCTGCCCGGGGGGCCGGGAATCGAACCCGGGTCGCAGCGGTGAGAGTCCTGCACCCTAACCACTAGACCACCAGAGGCCCCTGTGATTAAATATCTGCCATATTATTGGTGCTTAAAAATGTCACTGGAGAAAAAAAAAAAGGCCAACTACGTATGTGTGCCATCTAGAAATAAAGTTATATTTAAGATCTGTGGGAAAAAAATCCCACAAAAGCCATCAAGAACTTTTCAGATTTTTCATTTAGTACTGCACTGTACAAAAGGATATTTAAATTCATGCTAAGTTTTAGACCTACAACTAATTCATCTTATTAGTCTATAATCTAAGTTCTTTGCTGAACTGTATTTGAAGTTCAAGCTCTACTAGGAAATTCTTGTTTCTCATTGCTTCCCTCTCAAGCTTCTCTATTCATTGTTTTATATCCACTATACTTCAGTCATGAAATACATGTTCATTAAAACTCTTGAATGTTCCTGTCATTGCTCATACATTATGATATAACATTCAAGTTCAGTGGATAAAATATTGTGTTTTGAAATGGGAAAATATGTGGAATAAATTTATAATATAGAGCTGAAACTGTTATATTTTGGAATATTTCCAATACTTTTATGGAAGTTTAGATTATTATCTTGAGAGAACTGCTACAGTATATTCAGTTATAAAACTGACCTGAGGCAAAGAAGGAGAGAGGATTTCAGCTCTCAGCTTTGAGAATTTTGAATTCCCAGCTTTTGAATCCTCATCAACTTTATCATGATCTTCAGTGAATCATCTATGAACATAAAGATATGTGTTCCTGTAGTGTGATTCTTTAATATGTGTCAATTGATGGTCTGTGTAAAAGATGTCAAAAGTTAGAATAGTAGGCAAAATACAAGATACTATATTAAGTAACTGGCTATATAAGTGAAAATGTACATTACAAGTACCAGAAACAATAATGTAAAAAACACCTAACATTTGACATTATAGCAAAAATCTAAGTTTCTCAGACTTTTAAATTAGTAGTGAAAGAATGCCTACAAGTATTTAATGTTGTAGACACAGATTAAAAAAATGAATAAATGTTAATTTGTTAAAGTTGGTGCAAGCTAAATAAATTGGTAAGACATAGGGCAACATATGTGTTCCTTGCAGCCATTGGTTCACCTCTGTGTAAGAAAATGGTAGTCTGCAAGGTTGATATGTTTTTAGAAATTACTTTCGAGTAAAATGCTGGAAACTGATTCTTAAGCTAGTTAAAATTAACTAGTTAAGTGAAATTAGTATTATTATTATTATTACTAGCTCGTTTGTTGTTTTTGCTCTCATTTGAATGTGGTTGCAAATAGTGTCACCTGGAAGTTAAAAAGCCTCTTTTTGTTTAATATTGAGATTTTCTGTGAAGAAGAAATTACATATTTTACTATTTTCCTTTCAAATGTTCAAGTTGTTTTTGAATTCCTCAAAAATACACAAAATTAGTTAGGTTTGATTTTACAGATAAAGAGGATCTGAAAAATTTCAGCACATCATTTCGGTCTTAGTTGTTCCAGAATTTGCATTCCTTGTTGGTTTTACTGATATTTGATTGGAATAGCTAGTAGAAACCTCTTACTACATCCATAGAATGATAAACTACTTCAGGTTGGAAAAAACATTGAAAAACCTGTCTGCTCTAACTCCCTATTTAAAGCAGGGCTTTGCTATTCCTCAGTAAATATATCAACGATGAAACATATTTTGGAGAGTAAATCTTTATAGGTATAGATTTCTGTGCTTTCTGTCAGCATTTTTATAATTGTGCAATGCCACCGTGTGTTAGCAGGACTAGATATGTCTACAACAGAGTCACCAAAGTGCCTGCAATGCCATGTGCTGATACTTAAGCAAGCTGTAAGCCTCTGACTTTCTGTAGATGTAGCAGTGTGCACACAGGAGTGTGGAGCACAGCATGCCTGGAATTGCAGCAGAGTTCTCTGCTTTGCTTAGCTGAGTCAGCTGGTAGAAAACTAGTTCAGACACTGGTGTGTTACAGTTTAGTCGTGCCTGTCAATGGCACGTAGAGATACTTGTAGCTATCACCAGGGTAATGTGCATGTGAATAGATCATGAGTGTATGCAGGTATGTGTATATATTACATATATATATAAATCATGGTAGAATATTACTGCAACACAAAAGTCTTTAAATATCTTTCTTTCCTTGTTTTTTTGGTTTTTTTTTTCCTTAACCAGAGTACCTAAAAGCATTACGTTCCTGGCTTTTAAAAACTATAGCAGCACATAATTTTATATTAAGTTTCCCCAGAGGTATAGATGAGTGATTTGGTGAGTTATCCCGTCACCAGTTTATGTAGACATTTGACAGTGTACTGCTCCTTCCCATTTTCCAGTGCAATATTTATGACTCAAATTTAAGTTTGCTTGATACTAGAAATCTCAGTTGTTTGTAGACATGGTTATCTATGTTATGCTAACAGAGGATCTTGTATCTGTGACTAAACAGCAAAGTTCCTATAGCTAGTAGAAGAATAACATGCCCAAGGATTGAAATCCAGCAGCCATCCACAGACACTGACAGGTATTGCCTTGTATATTAGCTGGATATTGAAATTATGATAATTAGAAAGTGTATTGTTGTATTTTTCTTGTTCTGTGCTCAGTGCTTCTAGATGAAAAAATATGAAGTAGGAGCTGGATTTTAGTGTACTGTATTCCTACAGCTATTCTATTTTTATTTCTTCAGTTTTTTGTTACAAGAAAAACCTAATACTAAAATTGTGATTGGCATGGTCTCATAGCTTGTACACAGTAAAAAAAAAATTAACACGGGCTTTCAAATAAATTGTGTTTTCAGTCATTCTGGGGAAAAAAATAACTTCTATTTGTTCTGTAAGCTGTTACAATTGCTTACTGTTGGAAAATGTTCAGCTTTTATAAAAAGCTTCCTCTATAGATAAGTTTAGATCAATGAGTAAAATCATTTGTTGAAAATTCTTTTTATTTGTTAAGAAAGTAACAAATCTGAAAAATTAAAAATTAGAAATGGTTATTTTCTGCATTGGGAAAAGAGTTAGTGTTTGAAATTTCCAGAATATGAATATAGAACAATGCAGATAAATCAGTAGATCAAATAAAGTGTGGTAGCACCTTTGGTTAGATACTGTACTGTAGTAATTAGAGTTTACAGTGGTACCTAAATACTATGAGATTCTAATTTTAATATTTGATGGGTTTGGAATATAAAGTTAGATTGTGAAAACTCATAAGATTTTCCATGTATTAGTGACTTACAGGGAGCTCAGTCTCATAGGGATAGGTGGGGTTGGCTTAGAAGCAAACACTGCTGTACTCTTTCTTCTGTGTAGGGGAGAGTCAGCTTACAAGACTTGCATACTTTGACAAGGGAATAGACCATCTCACATGCATGTTTTCCTTAGCAAAGGTAGAAGGATGCTACCATAGGCAATACTAAATGAAGGAGGTCATTATTTGACATTTCATTAACTGTATTTTCGTAATGAAAGGTCTGTTAACAAAGATAAACAGTGTTAGTGTACATTAAAATATGATATGGATGTTGAATAGTTTAACTAAGACTATCATATTTACCTCTTTAAAAATTAGGAATTTGTATGATATGATTTATAATGAGAAAAGAGGAAAGTTTCATCTAGATAATTTTTGAGAATGTCTTGAAATGATATCTGAAAAGTTAGAGACTTTTGTTTTCAATTTAACTTGCTCTCCATGCTTATGTCTGGATTGTGATATTAATGCATAATTGTATTCAGTGGTAAGGGAGGACCTTCACTACCCAAGCATCTTGTTGGAATGATAGTTTTTCTTTAAAAGGGATAGTTTTTTTCTGAAGACTGGGATCATATATTACATGTGTTTACTGCTAAAAGAACAAAAGAATAAGTGAGGATGAAGAATAGACAGTAAAATTATCAGTTGAATTGTTCTTTATATGTATATGGTGTAAAACAACAAAGTGAAACTTTCAAGTGGAAGAAAGTCCACTTGAAATAGCCCTCCATTTGCTATGGTGCTTTTGAAGAGGATTGCAGCATGTAGCCTGGAACTTGAGAGTGACAACTCAGTTTCATCTCAGGATTTAACTTAGTCTTCAAATCCTGCAGTCTATAAAATAACGGCAGTGCCAAAGCTTCAAAGCAAAATGTTCACTGCCAAAATTCACGCTCTCCTTCACTTCTGGAATCCCTGATTGTTTTTCCACTTAAAGTAAATGCCAACTGCAGATTGTAGCAAACCGAATATTTATATTAGCTGTTGAATACAAAATTTTTGAGGCCTATATCTGGTAGCATAGTGATTAGCTACACTGGTTCCATGATGATCCGCAGAATATGAAACCTGCACACTAAGCCATTAGTATTAATTCTAATGGTAAAAATGCCTCTCTGCCTTCTAATACAGGAAATGGGTCAGATCCCTAACATCCTAAAAATATTTTTTTATACCTAAAGAGCTTTTTATACCTAACGAGGCCTTAAGAGTAACAAGTGAGAGTCTTAACTTCTCATGAAGTGTTTATGAGAATCATGTGGTTGCTACTCACCTGTTCCTACTGGATGTTGGAAGAAGAGAGAAACAGAAAATTAAATAAAACCTCTCACATATTGCCCAGTCGCTGCTGGTGTGGCCTAGCAGTCCTCCACTCACTGACAAGATCAAGAGTATTCTAGCTATGTGTGTGTAGCAGACCCAAAGAAGAAAGTTTCTGTGGGCTCACTAATTTTCTTAAATATGTGGGTAAACAAGATAGGGGTGGGTTTTCTGGACCTTGGCCATATTCTCTTTTGTAACTTTGTTGAATTTAGGAATATTTTTTCTTGAAATTTACTTCCAGAGTTAAAGAATGTATTCCATGGTCATTTTTTTAACAATCATGCAGGTGGCTGACACTTTTCTCACCTTCCATAGCACTGAAAGCTCTCTTAAATAGTTCCATTAACTAAAAAGCATTCATATTAAAGCTAAGGTTGTGTTTCTTTGTCTATCAACAATGTAAAAGAAGCGAGACAGTGGATGTTTTTGCTGATGAAGCTTCCCATTCAGAAACAGAGCTGATAGAAGAAGAAGTGAGGTAATTTTGTCATGGTTTTGTGCCAGGCTCATTGTACTTTCCCTCCAATCTTTAGTGCCTCAGCTTATAATTACCATTATGTGTCTCACTGTGGTGTGTTCGCTTGTTAGGAGCTTATAGATATAGGTTCATGGTGTGTGGTATTATTCTGAATCTGTCTGTGGCAATTCCTTCGTTTGCTCTGGGAGTCCAATTATGACCTCATGGAAGGCCTGAAGAGACATTGCTTGTAATGGCTGTTTTATAAACCCATGCAGCAAAGTTAGCCACTATATTGTTTTTCAATGTTCTTTAGAAATAAATGCTGTTACTAACATAAAACTCTTCATAATGAGGCTGTGATATGTCTCTTTCTTGATACCGATTAAAATTTGACTTCTTGTTACACTTAATCACCATCCAGCCACTCATTGTATTAACTGACTCCATTGTAAAAGGCATGACTTAGCTAAAGGAAAAGTCCTGAAGGGTACACATTCCCCATTTGTATTCTGTAGCTGTTCAGTTACTCAAGGAGAGGTGAGAGGACTGTGAATTTAAGAAATAACTCCATTAGAGTATGGATTTTACTTTTAAAATGCCTTAATTTATTTTTGGATGTTGCTAGTAAATATTACTCCTTTCAAACAGACCAACTACATTGTGAAAAAAGGTGGGGCTTGATTATTTTCCGAAAGGAATGGTTTGATTAATTGCCTAATAGTAAAAGACCAGACTGCTCGATCAAGAAATTCTTTTTTGCTCAGTCTAATTTCTACCCATTGCGTCTCTAATGATAACTTTTTCCATTGCTGTTTTAGTACAGTTCCATAGACTGTGGGTTAGGAGATTTTTTTTTAGTTACAAACCAAACTTTTTCTAGTTGTTGGAACCTTTGCAAGTACTAATGATGCAGGTTTTCATCGGATTACAGTCTGAGCACCACATATGAATCCACCACTATTGTCCAGTCTATATTTTGACAGACGTTCCGAGTTTAGTAATAATTAACAGTGCTGCATGATAATTATAACATCTCAAATGTGGAGTTTCCTACAAACAAGAGTGCTACCTCTAGAGATAATGCAATCTAAAAAAAACCCTACTAATATGAGGGATAATGCAAAATTAAACTGCACAATTAAAATTAAACTGCACAATTAAATGAGTCCTAAGCTTTAGTGAGACAATATTATGTCAGCTAGTCTTTTCTTCCCAGGTTGATGTATTAATTGACACAAACCAACATTTTAATGTCAGGAAACAGACTATTGCATGGATAGTCATTACCAAGACATTGGAAACATTTCAGCCCATTTATCAAGAGCAAGTTATATGGAGCAAGTCAAATCATACATGTATAAAAAACCTGTATGTTGTCAAGAAGTTCTATCAGAAAATTTACTCCCCCCTAAAATATACATAACAAAATGATTTGCTCCAAACCAGTATCATACAGCATATTTTATAATTAATAGAAAAGTTCATCTGAGCTGCTTTTTGACTAACATTACAGGAATTGTGAAGCAGCAGATAGACAGCCATATCAAAGATCCAGATCAACAGAGCAACGTCCTATGCTAGAGCGGACCAACTCCCGCTCCCGATCCACAGAGCGTCCTGACTCAAACCTCATCAGGTCGATGCCTTCATTAATGACTGGAAGATCTGCCCCTCCTTCACCTGCCTTACCGAGGTGAAACAGACAAATCAATCAGACTAATCCCCTCCTGCCCCACCAGCTCACCATTTTATTTTCCCAGTAGCTAATTGGTATCGCCTCATTCTTAGCTGATCACTAGTAGCAATAGATACTAACCCTTTCAGTGCCAACACACTATTTATATTCAACTCTGGATATAATGGTGTGGCAGCCATTGCAAATCATTTGCTAGCTGTATTTAACTACATTTGTTTATGATTTCTCATTTATCAGGAATCCTGGATGGTTTCCCACATAAAGCACTTCATAACTATCATATTCTTCTCTTACAGAATGAGAAATTATTTGTGTTCATCAGACATTGCTTATGGAACAGCCATCATAACATCAAATGAAACTATTTTTTTTAAAAAAAAAGTTTCTTTAGATGGACTGTACTAACTTTGTCTATTAATTGTCATTTTAACCACCATTTTCTCTGACTACATTTTACTGTGCCATAGTCTGTATTGTTCCTGTTTGAGTACCCCTGATTGATATTTTGAGGATTGCTATGCATTATTCTTAGCTTAAACATAATACAATAAAAAGATGAGTGCATTTTGCTCTAGTTGATGTTCAGTAAAGCCTCTCCTTATTTTAGAACTGCAGAATACATTATTTGTTTTCTCGAAGTTACAGTTATTAACATCAAATCCCCAGTGAGAGTTAGAGTCAAATATCAGTGTCTTTTCTCAGTTTATTACTTTGTTTAGACAAATCCATGTAATTTAAGCAAATACATGCTGAGTAAAGATAATTGAATTTGACTTGTGGATAAATTTATATGTATGTGGGTATTATATTCATATGCCCATGAATATGCACACAACACGTTTTCTGGCTTGACTGTACGAACAAGTGTCTTATGGATGTTCAGACCTAGTTTGGCTTCTTTTTCATGGAGAGTTTTCTGTTTTTAATCAGGTCTTTTTCTGAAATGAGATAATAGTTTCACTCTGGGACTGCAAGGGCCCCAAGTGATGTAAAGCCTACTTAGTCATGTTATCAGTTCTTGATATTTACGGATGAATTTGTCATTTAAAGGCTGTGGTTTGTTTTGATATGTGTCTCATAGGTCACATCCTCGATCTGGGTCTGTTCAGACAAGTCCATCAAGTACTCCGGTAGTAGGGCGAAGGGGCAGGCAGTTACCGCAGCTCCCACCCAAGGGGACGTTGGAGAGAAGTAAGTGTGTGGTTTTATCCAAATTACTCATGAAGGTTGGTTATATTTATTATTTTTCTTTTGCCATTAGAGTTGAAATCTATTGAGTTTTTGTGTACAGAATTAGGATTTGACGGTAGTATTGTATTTTGTAGTGTGTTTTCTTCTATTATGTTTTAATATCTACAATACTCTTGGCTGAAATGAATCACCAGCAATACACATGAACCAAGGTGGACTATTAGCATGATCCTGTTCCTTCTGAACTCAGTAGGACTTTTGTCATTGACTTCAACAGGCTCAGGAAATGATCTTCTGTGTGTTGTTTAGTGATAAAATTCTGGCTCTTTTGGGAGTCGGGAACATAGTGGATCACTTGTGGGTTCACGTGCATATAAAATATCTGCTTCTTGAAACAGGAAGAGCAAGAAGAGAGGTAACAATCTTTAAAATGGAAAAGATCAGAAAGATATTTCGTGATTCATATTTTACTGGTACTCTGATTGAGCTTATCTTTAATGTCTGTTAAAAGCACTGGTTGATTGAGACATTTTCCAAAAAATGTTTAGAAACAGGGGTATATAAACACATTTTTGATAGCAAATATATATTCACCTTCATCTTCTAATAATTAGATGTGCTGTGCAAAATCAGTCTAAATGGCCATATACACTCCTTTTTTAAATCCTTCTTAACATGTATATTGTATCTTTTATAAAACTTCTGTTGTTTTTTAACCCCTGTGCTTTGGTTCCTTTTTTTTTTTTGTTTGTTTGTTTTGTTTTTGTGACTTTCCCTAGACAATGGAGACAAGGAGATAGAATCTTATGAAGGTCTGTACATAAAGAAGGGCTTGTTTTTCACCTGAAAGCCTTTTTCAGAGGCTAAATAGGGAAAAATAAACCCAACTGCAATTGATGTTACTTGATTACACAGATACAGTCAGAACTATTGTCATAAATATTTAGTCTTTAGTTTTAGACCTGTGGCTCATGAATTGTACAGGGTTCTACATGAAAAATTTATAAATAATACTGTCTAAATATGATTGTCATTAGAAAAGTACCTAAACATGTACCCTTTTAAAGACCAAGAATTTATGCTACAGCAAATAAGGGCATTTCAGCTAACCTGTGTATGTATGTACGTTTCCAGGATTAGCAGATATTCAGGCACATGTTTAAATATAGGCATTTGAAGCTATTTGACATGTGTAATGTTAGCCATGCATTTGATCAAAACAATGCTTTTATTGCAAACATATTATAGTGTGATACATTTGCTAAATTACAAGGTAATTTTCAAATAATATAGGGAAAAATTTAGTTGAACTAATTATACCTTTCAAAAAGGTATAATATTTTTGCTAAAAATTAAATCCCCTTATATTTTGTAACATTAAAACCATTTAAGTTACTTAATAGCAAGCCACAAGATATCAATTGCAGTCCTTGGTTATTCCACTGAGGGTCTTTATGTAGTATTACTGAATCTGTCTCATCAGAATTTTTAATTTAATATTTACAATGTTTACAGTATTTATTTCCATTTTGGAAACAAAAACTCCATGAAAAGAAAACTCTTGTTTTCTCAGATCACCACCCTAGTATATTCATTTCTTTGTCGTCTTATGTGTTGTGAATTGCTTATATGAAATACAGTCTAGATATGCCAGGAAATAATCACATCTAATCACATGATGTTTGTTGTCATTGCTGTATATGCTTTTATGTTTTACCATTCTTCCCTGCTCTTTGCTTAGTATATCTATTTAGACTGTGAGCTCCTTAGAGCAGCAATTGTGAAGTACTGCATATTTTTACTGTGTTTGATTAGAGAGGGTAGCAGTCTTATTTATGATTTACTTCATAGGTTCTATAGAGAGAAATATAATAAATACAATAAAATAATTATTTTTTATAGGAGTGCTAGAATTGTTTGCTCTGGTAAGTACTGCTGGGACTTGAGGAACTCTGTTTTTACTTGAAGACTGAGTAATATTTTCCTTTAAGTCTGTCTTTTGAAAAAAAATAGTCTTTTGGAAAATCTGGGTTATGGAAAATTGCCAAATCCAGAGATGTTGAAGTTTTAATGTACAGTAAAAGCATCATCAGTGACTCAAGATACAGTAAATAGATAGATTTCATTTTGAATTTACATATATAAAGATGGTAAAACCTGTTAAAATTGTATTCCATAGATACAGTTTTCATACAGAATTCTATACAATTTTCTGTCATGAATTAAGATCTTATATTCTAATACCAGTGAAGTTCTCCTTTGAGGCTTTTTCTCCCCTTCTTTAGGATTTTCTAATCATTTTCTTTAAGGGGACTAATAATTTTCTTTAAAAATAATAGTGCTGTGCAAGAACAGCAGATTACCTAACTTCTGTCAGTGACAAAACGTAATTAAGATTAGTAGCAGTCTTTTTACTGTGGAGAATTGAATTTTACAGAAAGTTATTTTAAGCAAATGAAGTACCAGTTATAAAAACTCAAATGTAATAGAATTGGAAACACTGACTATCGTAGAAGGAGTTTATGTTATTATTTAACAAATAAAGCATCATGTAAACCTGAAAGCTTTGTAGGCATTTGAGCAGATTTTAATGTGTTTTTATATGCCCTTGGATTAATCAAAATGGTTGTCTATTGTTGGGAAAGCCTAATGACCATACCAGAAAATGTCATTGTCACAGAACAGACCTTTCTGCTCTTATAGAAACAGAGGAATTTCTATATTGCTTGGAAACAGGGCGTGAAGGTTAACCTTTTTGTTTTTGAAATCAGTGATTTTATTGTTGACCAGATTAAGTTAAAATCATACTGAAGAAAAGAGTTAATAAAAGATACATAATAGACAAAGAGGAATTTGAAGTCATCTCATTTTTTAAAAAGACAAAAAGAAAAAAGTAAAAACTTATCTGTTGTTAACTTCTACAGTAGTCTCATTTAGTTTGCATAGATTTGAATAATCCGTATTTGTTACAGGGTTGAAACTGCATACCTTTTCTTAAAATGTAGTAGAAGAAAAACCAGAACTCAAGTAAAAATAAGGGAGTAATTTGCTGTTGGAGATTTTTTTTGCTACAGTGCAGTACTCAGTAGAATGTGGAATATGGTGTGATTATGGCTGCGTGACTAGAAATGGAAGGGAAGGAATCTATAGGGAAAAAGTACCCCTCTGGGTAATGGCTTTCCTAATTAGGATTAGAATTAAAACACCTTGATTTGGGTTAGATTTAGTTCCATAAACTATGTTATGTAGTTATGTAGTTGCATGATTTTGCTCCAGGGCATGTAGGTATCCCCAGAATACTTCATTTCAAAATTCTGAAATAGCCAGAGAGCTTTGTTCATAAGAAATGTAGCTGTGAGTAGCTGCGAAGGACCATTCCTATCTGTAGTGTATTGTCTCATACATACTCTCCCACATACTCTCTAGGAGAACATACTTATCTGTATTGCATTTACAGTCTTTTATCATCATGGTATTTTGCCTAATTCCTTAACTTCCCACTGCTGTGTTACTTCCAGTGTCAGATTTACCTGTTCAAAAGAAAGGCTGAGTATTTATGAAATGCATATAATTATCTAATTTACCCAAGGTATACCATAGCATCTAGGCAGTTTGAATTTTGCTTTAGCCTTTGTTAGTTTAGTATATTTTCATGTTAGGTAGTTGGAAAGTAGTTCTGAAAAGACGTCTGGGACCACTTAAGTTTTTATCGAATTTTCACTACTGAATTGCCAGAACACTTTTTTTTTCCAGCTGAATATTTGCTTGTATATCTTTAAATTGTTCTAGAGCTATCTTGTTTAAATGAACATTTGGAGGAAAACGATTGAAATTGTTTTTAGCATGTGAAATGTTTATTTACTCTTAAGTGTTCTCTATTATTAGCACTACAGACAATAAGTGAATACTGCAATATTTATAGTTCTTAAGGGTTAATGTGATTTTTATCATTTATATGTGGCTATAGCGTATTTCTTTATTCTTACTTGCCTTGGTAGAAGGATGAAATCAATCACTGCTTGTTGCTAATTAAAATGGAACACCATAAAGTGCTCTTGAAAGTATTCAGTATTCACCCTTTCAGTTTGTTGTTAATTACTAATCAGAGAGAATTTTTTCCTAATATAGATTTTTCCTTTTCCTCTTAAAAATAAACATAGCCCTTTCTTTCTTCATTCCCCCAAAAAAATCCCCAAACTCTCCATCCAATCATAAAAACTAGAAAATTATGTTAGGTAAAGAATTGTAATAAAACCTTAAAATATGAAAATAAAGTACTCAGAAATTTAGCAAACAGTAGAGCTCAGTGAGGATTTGCCCTTCTATTTATGGTTTATGGAACAGACTTTAATTACATGATCTCATAATAATCTTGTGTCTTGGGAAAGTTATTTCAGAGGCTGTTAAAGCCTGATATTAATGCTGATTAACTGTCCTCTCTTAACTTCAGGTATGGGTGATCTTGTTCCAGAATAAAATTAGCTATGAATGGAATTAACAGGAATACTTGATTAGGTTTAATCAGGGATAGCTAGCAGCCATAAGTCCAGTTTTTATATCTCTCTAAATACAATTTCGAATCTGTAAAAAGAACAATGTCAAGGTACTGTTGTAACTGATGCAGCATGGAGTGTGAGTTACTGAGGCAGTCCAACGATTAGGAAACACAGATACCCCTGACAGAAATGCTGTTTATTTTAAGGGGTTTTATCGTATTCAGGACATTATTTCTTTGTTAAATGAGACATAGTTTTGCAAAATGAAAAGGAATTTTGTTGTGCATTTTCCAATGCCCTACAGTTTGATGGGAGACAGAGAAAGACTATTTTAATGCAATTACACAGGACCTGTATTAACACTGGTCATAATTCTATCATCCTCTATAAGCTGTGATTTCACGTGTTTTTAAGACTATATGATATATAGGTACTTTATTTTATAAAAGGTGATTGATCACATGTATATAATATGGGATAGGAACTTGGATTACCTTCAGCTTGACTATGAACTTGATGACTTAGTCAAACACAGCAGCCTAAAAAATGAAGGCACATAGCTTTGCACCCACCCATTTGTTTGTGTGGACACTTCTGCGGTACTGGCTGTATGATGTTAGACATCTTTGTGCTTGCACAGCATAACTTGCATCATGTGTGCTTGACAGGAAAGTAAAGAGAATAGTTTAGTTAACATCAGTACCAAGGGTTCCTTAGGATACTGCCTGAATCTACCTTGGGTTTTTGACTTCAACAAAGAATTTGCAACAATACAAAAAAACCCTTTGGGTTTTACTTGTGGATGCTTAGTTCACCCTCCTGAGAGGCGGCAGAGACCTCAGCCTCTGAAGAATATTAAAATATTTTATTTGCATTGATACGATTTTGGCAGAAAAACTTGAACAAATTTTACCAAAATGAAGAGCTCAAGGTTCTGACCTTTCAAGGGAAGTCATAGTTTATCATTTACTCTTGGATTGGCAAAAGGAGGAATTAAACAGCTTTATGAAATTTGAAGATCTAACTATCTAGGTCTGAGACCACAAAGGGCATAAAGAAAAATGACTGAGGAGTCATAAAGCTGTGCTCATAACATCCATTGTTTGTTTATGTTTCAGGGTACCAACATGCCAAAACCACTTTAATTCAATTCTACTGAAATTGATTTTTTTAAAGTCTTAGGCACATCTTCTATACATTCAAGTGTATAGATGATATCCCTGCTGAATATTTTAACTGGAATTTTCAATGTCATGATTTTAATTGGAATTTAAATGCCATGATTTTATCACAGAATTATAGAGCAGAAATCCATG